CCACTGAGGAATCTAATTATAATACAAGACCAAAGCGCTTATCAACTCAAAGCCTTTGACTTCACAGAGGAAAACCATGGGCCTGCCCTTATTTTCTCCTCGTCTCCGGCGTCCAATGCGGTAAAGCTGGGCTAAAATGCGCCGACACAACCCTAGAATCAAGTAGCTCCACAATAGGTGTGAAGTTAACGCACCTCGGTACCTTGTACTGGTTAATTGATGCGCCTCTAGAGATGGCGTAATCCATCAGCTCCTCGAACGTTCCGTTTCTCACAACCCTTATCTCGAGCGGTCCAACCGAGTTGTCGGCGACTCGGCATTGCCGGTAAACCGAGTTCAACGACTCTTCCATCTCGAGGCAGCACCGAGTCATGGTCTCGTGACTCGGCCGGCTTGCCCCATCCCTCACTAACAACTCCCAATACAAAACGTAGTGGCCAGGGATTGTGCTTGTGTCTGCGTAGCTAGTGTACTCGGCTACGCGAGTCCCGCATTCTTTAAGAAGAAGACTCGATCCGTTCTCCACGGCTTTCTGAAGCTCAGACTCGTCCGTCTTGTCAGAATCGATGCTNAGGAGGACGTTCTTCCTCCTCACAAAGTGAAATTTAGGTGCTGAGTTGTGAAAGCCTGTGACTCTGAGGATGTCACCCACTCGGTATCGACATAGACCGGCATAGGTTGTGACCACGAGTTCGTACTCTTTGCCAATCTTTACATCAACGAGTTCAACGGCCTTGGAGCCGCCGAGAGGGATAAACTCGAAATAGGCCATGTTGGGCATGATGGTGTAAGAGACTTCGGACGGTTTGCTCATTGGGTTAAGGTTTAAACCAAAGTAGCACTCGGAGGAAGCGTACATGGTGCAAGCCATTGGAAGACCGCCACTATAGTATTCCAACGTTGGGATATATTGAGCCATGGCTCCAGTTACGATGACGTCAAGGTACTTAGTGTTAGGCCAAATACGGGTGATGATTCGTTCCCAATTTTCAGACTCACACTCCCGGCGGATAAACTCCGCCAACTCATGGTCCGGTTTGAGAATACCGGACATGCAGTGTCTTATAGACGGGTCAGTTATCTCGGAGTCGAGAAAACCCGACTGGATGTCGTTGGCAAAGCGAGACCAATGGAGCTGAAGGAAGCGGATGGCACGGAGGAGACCAGAGGCAAAGACGGCACCCACGCGGAGGACAGAGAGTCGGTCAAGGAGGCCACAAAGCATTTGAGTGTACATGCTTTGGAAGGAGTCCGAACAGAGAATGGCTTCGTTTGGACTTGTGTAGACGTTATAGGGATCATATGCTCGAGACCGGAATTGATCACTCTTGTAATAGCTAGTCAGGACTGGTCGAGCCGGTAGCCCCCCCGGTGTCTTTGATTCCGACTTAACGAACAGGAAATACATTCCCTTTCCTTTATCTAGTCCCGGCACATACCTGTTCCACAAAAGCGAGAAATGTCAACACTTGAAATAATTAGAAAGAACTGGATTTAGTAAACTCGTACGTTACGTTATTTTTATTTTCATTTTTGTTAGAGAAATATAAAACTAAAATTGGTCCGATTAGTCCTATCTAACGTGCGACCTATGGTAAGGACTAAGGAGTTTTATTGAAGCCAAGGACTTACAAATTCATGACAGGCATGAGGAGACTGTAAAGAAGCTGACGACGATCGAGCTCTTCTTTAATAGTGGGCATGAGTTTCCTCTCACCAGCTGAAGTTCCCGAGCTGGTGAGAAACTCGGAGATGGGATGGCCGGATAAGATTGGAGAGCGGTCACCGTCAGCTATGCGTTGAATCTCTGGCTGGAGATCTTCGTAAGTAATGATTGGAAGTTTCGATTTAAAGGTATCTCGGTCGGTAGAGCCGCCGAGGTTAAAGCGGCGGAGGTACTCGGTGTCGGCATTGCGTCTCAGAATCTCCGCTAGGAGGTTTTCTTGGACGGTATCAGCGTTTCGGGTCATTTCCTCGATAAAACGGAGGGCTTTTGCGTCCTTTTCACACGCCGGAGGTCCCAAGGACGACGAGAGGTTCGAGTCTACGGCCATATTTGTTGTCTATGTGTTTTGGGGGGGAGAAAACAAAT